TCTCTATTCAGAGGTAGGCAATACCCTGAGCTTGGTATTTACAAATATTTTAATCTTTTCTACATATATTCATAAATATATGGTACTATGATGCCTCTTTGTATATATGTACAGGAGTTTTTCTAGAACCTGAGGGAAGTGCTGGATCATAAACATGTTTTAACAGATTCCAAAACAAATTTGGATCAAGAGGCGGCAATAAAGACATAATTAAGTTTTGTAAGGCTTATGATTCCCCAGAACACTAGTGTATTATGCTAATCAGTGATCTAGAATCATTACCAGAAGTAGAAATTAGCTTGCAAACCAATTTTTAAGATACATGCTAAGTTTTAGGGGACCAGCAGTGAGCGTAATGGCTATGTCGCTGGACTCCCATGTAGTGGACCACAGTTTGAGTCCTGGACCCGGTGGCTTAAACTCACGCCGGGCGCATGTGCGTGCATGCCCAAGATTCCGAGAGGAGAATGGAAGAGAAGGGATTGTGACGTGGCCATCCTCCCAGGAGGTGATTTCTCGTTTTCTGTCTCTCTCTCTCTCTGTCTTTCTGGCGAGCGCACATGCCCTATAGCAAAAACCACGCCAAAAAAGAAAAAAGACACCTGTTAAGTTTTGAAACACCTCCAGAGAGATGATATAGCTGACTTCATTCCCCAATGTAAAACAAGATTTCTGAAATTCTAGGTCACATATAGTGTGAGAGTAATGATAAAGTGAAGCTTCTTAGTATACAATTAGCTGTGGGAATAGATGCACACATGGAATTTAATAGCATGTCATTTATTATTTCCTGAAAACAAACATCTATCTCTACGTGGCTCATGACCAATAGTTTAACCATAGTTTGTACTTAAAGATGGCAGTGCTAGTTTACAAAGTTATGCTTTATGAATAATAAAAAGACTATTAATTCCATAAAAAAACTTACCATGTTATAGCTCTCATTTAATTTTTATAGTTTTAATTTTTTGAATCAAGTTAAATATTTACCAGAATATCTAGATTATGAGAGGAGAAAAGGTAGGAATTACTGATTCCCTGCATAATGTTTGAAAGTAAACACTTACCATACTATTCCTTGCGCTCCAGAGCCTATAGGTTTTAGGTTCTGATATCGTTTCAGGACTGTGAATGTAGAATCTCCGATCTCTACACTATAAAAATTGTTGTCACGTTTGCTTCTGCTCATGATGGCAAGCAATTAATTTAATGGCTTCATCCAAAAATGCACCAAGAACCTGCAAAATGGAACAAAATGTTATGTTAACAAGGGAACGTGTTTAATCTTAATATTTGCTCTTTTCTGCCTTCTGATGGTAACAGACTGTTAGATCATGTTAAAAGAACAACTTCATTAAAAAAGATGGCAAGAAAGAAAGAGTAGAGCCTTGGTTACCGTATGCTCTATCTAATGAAACTGGCTTTTTTTCTTTTTATTAGGATAGTTTCTCCAACCTTGAAGTCAATGGTATTAATACAGAAGGCCCTCGACTTCTGACAGGGTCACATCCCAATAAATGCACTTAAAGCTGATAATATCGTAAGTTGAAAATGCATCAGGGCCAGCTGATGTCATGGTAGTTAAGAAAGCTGGATTCCACATGGCTGACTGTGTGGTTCAAGTCCTGGACCTAGCAGCTATGTGTGTGTGTGCAGGTATGCCTAAAATCTCAAAAGGAAAAATGGAGAAGGGACTGTAGCACAATCATCACTCATATGGGATGTTTCCTCACTTTTCCCCCTCTCTCTGTCTCTGACATGCACATGTACAAAATTCATTTAATACTCTTAGTCTACAGAACATCACAGTTTAGCCTAAGGTTGGACACGATCATCTGACAAAAGGTCTGCTTTATAATACAATGTTGAGTATCTCACGCACTTCACTGAATATGGTACACCATGGAGCACAGTGTTGGGTGTTCGCCCTCACAATTACGTTAGCTGATGGCGCCACAGCTCACTGCAGCTGCCCAGCATCCCCAGACTATCAAACTGTTAATCACTGTCCCCGGAAAAGAAGCATGCAAAACTCAAAGCACGATTACTACGCAGTATATACTGCTTTCACATCATGGTAGTCAAAAAGTCTCAAGTTGGTATGTCAGGGACCACCTGTACATATATAGTTTACTCAAAGATGAACAAAAGAAAGCAAATAATCACAATTAAACATGTTTAAAAGGCACTTCCATAGTTTTAAAAAAAATCAGTCCTTTTATTTATTGATAAGTATTGAAACCTCAGTTTATGGTAAAGGTAGGCCATGTTTCTGGCTTTTAAAATAACAAGAATGAACATTAAGCAACAGAATACAATGTGAATGTGATATTATCATAACACCTCAGTTAGCAGGTATCCAAGAATTCTTCTAAAATTACTTTGTACTTAAAATATCTCAAAATATTAGAAAGCTGGCTCTGAGGTGCTTATCTGTATCTAGATTATTAATGTTAGTGGCTAAAAAGCAATGCAAATTTTCTCAATAACATTCAACTGAAAAATTAGGTACCCTAACCTATAAGAATACAGTATTTCTAAAGTACTCTGTAGATATTTTAATTTAAAATCTAAAATAAATTATAATGTATGGGTTAAATCTTCACCTATCAAAAAAATTGATCACACAAAATAACTCATTCTTTGAGAAAGATCAAAACACCTGATATTTTCTAATAACTACTTTTGCAGAGTCTTTTACTAAAAGTATTCTCAGGCTCATAAGAGAAGGTGTTGTTCACATTCAACCACCACCAGAGACAGTTCCTAAAACCACAAATTAAGTATAGTAAATGAGAAGTGTCCCAGATGCATCTTAGAGAGAATTTTATTTATACTAGTAATAATTATCACTAGTGTATCTTGCCAGCAATGTAATTAGGATCACACTTCTTACAAAGTGCTAGGCACGTATTAGAAGAAAATGATTCCATGATAAGACAGCTTTCTATAATTAAATATTCCTGTTCCCAACAGAAAAAAAGTAATCACTGAATTTTAGAGTAAGTTACATGTGTCAGAATTTGAAAGCTCAGCAAGATGGGGAGAAAAAGTATTCCAATTGACTGTGATAACTAGACATGACAATTCTAAGACGAAGACTTGCAAAATGAGGAAAATGGTTAAGTTCAACTACAATCCTACATGAATCACTCAGAAACAGCTATACTTGTATGTTCTATCTCATCTTCAAGTTGCCTTTCAGAGGATAAGGTCTACGGCTGGGGTCATAAAAAGCTCTTTTTCATTACCAATGAAGTACAAAAACAAAAATCAAAAACTAAACACGGTTTTTTCCCTGTACAAATCTGTAGCAGATTCTAAGTGTTTCTCCTCTGATCCTTTTCACTTTCTCCAAAGAGATTTTAATACTTTCTAGAACTGTTTAATAACCTTAGAATGAGAAAGCTCATGTAATTATCTGAAGTTAGTTTAAACCTAAATACGGGTGTTCAACCTGTCAGGTGCCAGAATATGGCTCGGTGGATCCTGGTAAACACAGGAGGCCTGGTTGCCAAAGGAAGCCAACCGTGCGATTAGAGGGTTGGTACTTTGAGACTCTCCCCTTCCCCATTCCTCACTGGAGAGGACAAATAAACCAATGCAAACTGAGGAGCTGATAAAGCAGTGGCCAATGATGTAATCAACCATACGTACATAGTAAGCTTACATTAAAACCCCAAAGGGACTGAATTCTTTGGGCTTCTGGACAGCTAAGCACATGCAGACGCATGGAGGATGGCACATGTGGTGAAGGCATGGGTAGTCCATGCTCTTCCCCCATACCCATGCACTATGCATCTCTTCCCTCTGACTATACATTTGTATTCTCTGTAACTTTATAACCAATGTGTAAGTACAGTGTTTCCCTGAGTTCTGTGAATTACTAACAAAGTAACTGAACCCCAGGAGGGGGTTGCAGGAACCCACAGAAGAACAGGTAGGCCCTGGATGTGTGGGATGTGAAGCTGTCTCCAGGTAGACAGATTCAGAGCTGTGCTGAGCTACAAGACATGCCGTTCCTGTCTGCTGGAGAATCTGCTGCAGAATTGGCTGGTTGGTGGGGGAGACATGCCCATACATCCTGGTGATCAGAGGTCATGGAGTACTCTGCATAAATGGTATAGTAGCAGTAACTGGGTTTTCTTCCCGCTATACCCTGAAATAAACCTCAAGGAGTCGTCAATGATTCTAAGCTACCACAGGGTGAAGTGCTTTGAGGGAAAAAGATCCTTGAGTAACATTGCCAAATGACTTCCTGCAACAAATTACGGAGGAAAGAGACCTTGAAAAACACAGCACAAGGCCAGCAGATGGTGTGCTGGTTAAGGTGCTGGATTCCCACATAGCCACTGGGGTTCGAGTCCCAGATCTGGCAGCTTGAAACTCATGTCAGGCCCATGTGCCTGGGTCACACCCAAGGTCTCAACAGAAGAATGGAACAGAAGAGATTGCAGCGTGGCCGTCCCCCTCCCGGGGCAGTGAGGTGACTTCTCACTTTCCCTCTCACTGACTCACTCTCTTCTGTCTCCCTTTGGCAGGCAGACATGCCCTATGACAAAAACCTAAAAACAAAAAAGAAGAAAGAAAGAAAGAAAGAAAGAAAGAAAGAAAGGAAGGAAGGAAAGGAAAAGAAAAGAAAAGAAAAGAAAAGAAAGAAGAGAAGAGAAGAGAAGAGAAGAGAAGAGAAGAGAAGAGAAGAGAAGAGAAGAGAAGAGAAGAGAAGAGAAGAGAAGAGAAGAGAAGAGAAGAGAAGAGAAGAGAAGAGAAGAGAAGAGAAGAGAAGACAAGACAAGACAAGACAAGACAAGACAACACAAGACAACACAAGACAACACAGCATGCTGGAACCACTCAGTCTAAGTCCTAACAGCACTTCAAAGGTCCCAACATATAGCCCTGAGTAATAACATGATTCTCTCAAGGCATTATAAAATTAAATGACCAGTATACTCCATCTCAGAAAGCCAAAACATGTCTAACAGTTTTTATAAAGAAGTTAATCTCGGACCAGCTGATGGCACTATGGTTAAGGTGGTTGAATATCACATGGCCAACAGGGTGTTCTGAGTCCCAGATCTGGCAGCGTGAGAAATATGCTGGACGTGTGCATGCCTGCCCAAAATCACAAGAGGAAAATGGAGAAGAGACTGTGGCATGGCCACCACCCCTGGGGATGTCATTATGTGTGCCACCTTCCTGAACTTATTTTTGCTTCTCCACCATTACCATTTGACAGTGCTCTGAATAACTCTCCTGATTGTGCTCAACTTACTATCACTCATTTTCCTACCACTGAAATATTTTCAAGACCCTGCTATTTTATAAATACATAAACATACTTAAAAACCTAAATAAACTGTCATACCATCTCTAGCCACTGGCCTCTCTCCCTCCTTCGCCTTACAGCAAAACTGCTTAAGCACTGTTCATATTTGCTACTGTGGTCTCTCACCTTCCACATGGAGGTGAAGGAGTCTTCCATCTTTGTTTCCATTTTCACCAGCCCCATTAAACTCATTCACCTAGGTCGTCGTCAAACTCCCTGGTCCAAAACTCAGCAGAACTTTCCTCTTTCTGATGCTGCTCAGCAGCACCTGGCACTGCTGTCACCATTCTCCTTGAATTCTCAAAATCACTGCTTATACTCCAGGTTTTCCTTACCCTTTCTATCCCTTCCCAATTTCCCCATAGACTCCTCCCTGCCAGCTCTCAAATACATCTCTTCAAAGCTGTCTTGGTCCTCTTCTCTAGTTACACTCTCCCTTAGAATGACAGCAAAGTCTATAAAAGTTGATTCATCCAGAGAAATTATTTGCACTTAGTCATCTTCTTTTATCACAGGTTATATATACATCTATGTGTGTATGTATGTGTGCACAAGTGTATTTTAGTACCCATGATAATAACTAAATTACATCAGTTTGAAAATAAGAGTACACGATTTAAAGAAAGATGGTGAATTACTGATGTAAAAAACACCCCACCCACCACGCCAACTGCTGGTCAGAGCAGAAAGTATTTGTAAAGAACAGTTCTTTTGGTGTTTGTGTGTCTATGTATTACGTGAGGGAGGAGGACGGGTAGGGGTGTTTGCCAGGGTCCTTCTGTGTTTCAGTCCTCCCACCCTGGCCCTCACATCAGCCTCGTGAGTAGCGGGTCTATAGTAAGTGCCATCATGCCCAGATTTTCAGGATTCGGCCTACTGAGCAGAAGCATGCAGCATGTGCTACTGT